ATGTAATCTCCTGTTTGAGGAAATAATTTTTATCTAAGGATATTTGCAAGCTTACATTTTAAAAGTTAACACCATCTGGTTCTATAGCTCTAGATGTCTGTTTATATCACCTTAAGTATCTTCATTCAAATCCTCAATCTCTGGTATACAGATTGTAGAATGTATTGACTATACTAAGTTTGAAAAGTGAGAATGACCAAAGTATGAATTCATTCATTCATTCAACAAACTTTATTGCCTACCAGCCAGGTGTCAGGCTTTGTACTAGTTGCTTGAGAAACAATGGTAAAAAGAATAGTCCTTCTCCTCAAGTAGTTTGCCTTTTAATTAAGGAGACAGTCAAGTAAACAGGGTACTTCAGTACAGCGCAGTAAATATGTGCTTTAATTCGGGCAAACTCAGAGTGTTGTAGCGGGTAGCAAACTCTCCTTTTTATTTAATGTGTATGTGGTGGCGGGAGGAGGAATGAATTAGAAATAGGAAAACAGGCAACCAGTTCATATCAAGTGTCATACAGGGGGAACCACAGAGTCTTGGGACATAATGGTGAGACTTAACGTATTTTTGGAGGATGTCTATATTCCTTGAGGCTTAGAGTCTTTAAAAGTCAACAGCACCTAATGATCAAGTCTGCTCTTAGGAGAAACAGATGCTCTTAGAATATGCCTATTCATTTATTCTTTCAATAAGTACTTCTTAAATAGTATCTCAATATACTAATACTTTGTCAGGTTTTCTATGGCAGGTGCTTCCGAAGGCGCAATATTCATTCACTTAATTAGAAATGTCTTGAAAGAGTCTATCCTCTCCTCTGTTTCTATCTTGGCATATTCCTATTGAACACCCAGAAATTCTTGCCTATAGTCAGATAACCTCACAATCAGTAATTCAATATTTTGTGTATTCATTTTTCATTTTTCAATAGTTTTGGACATCTACTGAAAATGTAATGGTAGAAGACAAAAGAGAAAGTGAATTCCATTTCTCTAAACTGAAGAGGAGGCAAGATATGGAAAAGAAAAGAAAAATTAGAAAAATAGAATGGATGAAGCAAATGTAAGTTGATGAAATACTTAGACTTACTAAAGAAGTATACAGTATTTTAAGTTTTTTAATTGCTATAATTATTAAAATAAATACATGTTATTTTAAACATAAGATGAAAAATTACATGTATATTTTTAAAAATATATAGAAAGCAAATATTTAATAAATGCCTACTAGACACTGTTAATCCCTGGGATATAAATGATAGAAGACAGGTTCTCTTTGACCTTGAGGATATCGCTATATTGGAACATCAGATATTGTAAATAAGCATTTACTCTTATATATGAAGCAACTCTAATTTCACCCTCTAGACCCACTCTAGACACTTCCAAACCTTTCTTTCTCCCCTAAAGAAACTGACTTGTATGGATTACTTTAAAAGTCACTCTGGACCTATGTAATAAATATTAAAAGCAAGCCCCAAAAGAATCAAATTGTTTCCAAGTTAACTTGACTATATACAAGAACAAAGCACCAAAATATTTAATAATACAAAAAACTCCAGTACTCAAAATCATATAAAATTCACAGTTTCTACCCTATAGTAATCAATTAACAAGCATGCAAAGAAGCAGGAAAATGGATCCCTGAGAAGAAAAAATAGTATCAATAGACTTGCCAAAAATATCTTTTAAAAATGAAAATGAAAGAAAGCTTTTCATACAGACAAAACTAAGTTCTATCATCATGAACAGAACAGCAGTATAAGAAATAAAGGAAGAAAAGTGACTCTAGGTAGAAATCTAGATCCATACAAGGAATGAAGAGCACCAAAAATGGTAACTGTAAGTAAATGTAAAGAACTTTTCTAGAAATATTTATTAAATGATTATGTGAACAAAGAACTACAGAAAAAATGTAAAATCATAATTTATTATAATTTGTGCTCTTACTAAACAATATAAATCAAGAGGTATGCTCCTGCTTCTATAAAATTCACTAGGTCTAATGGGTCACTATGAATTTAAAGTCTGACAATGCAGAAACTTCATGAGCGCAGGAAAATACCTTGTCACGGTCATATCTCTTGCCACCCAGGATTGTATAACCCTACTTTTATTGAATTTTTATTATGTGCGAGTCATTGTCCTAAATGCTTTATAGGGATTTGTACTTCTAAACCTCTCAAGAATGCTATGAGGTAGTAGTGGGTTTTTTGAAGTATAGTTGATTATATTAGTTTCAAGTGTACAACATAATGATACAATATTTGAAAAGATTATACTCCACTTAATGTTATTACAAAACAATGGCTATATTTCCCTGTGCTGTAAGATATATCCTTGTTGCTTATCTATTTTATCCACAGTAGTTTGTATCTCTTAATCACCTAACCCAGTTTTTCACTTCCTTCTCCCCTCTTCCCACTGGTAACCACTGGTTTGTACTCTATATCTATGAGTCTGTTTCTGTTTTGTTATATGTACTCATTTGTTTAATTTTTTAGAATCCACATGTAAGTGATAACAGAGCATTTATGTTTCTCTGCCTGACTTCTTTCACTAAACATATTACTCTCTAGGTCCATTCATGTTTTGTGAAGTACAGAATTTCATTCTTTTTTATGGCTGAGTAATATTCCTTTGTGTTTATATAGCACATATTCTTTTTTTTTATATCACATATTCTTTATCCATTCATCTGTTGATGGACACTTAGGGTGCTTCCATATCTTGGCTATTGCAAATAATCCTGCTATGAACATTGGGGTGCATGTATCTTTTCAAATTAGTGCTTTCATTTTCTTTGGATATAAACCCAGCAGTGGAATTCGTGGATCATATAGTAGTTCTATTTTTAGTTTTTTGAGGAATTTTTGTATTGTTTTCCACAGTGGCTGCACCAATTTACATTTCTACAGAGGTTCCGTTTTCTCCACTCCTCGTCAACATTTGGTTTTTATACATTTTCTGGTAATAGCCATTCTGAAAGGTGTGAGGTGAAATCTCATTGCAGTTTTGAGTTGCATATTTCTAATGACGAGCAATGCTGAGCAGCTTTTCATGTTCCTGTTAGCCACCTGTATGTCTTCTTTGGAAAAATGTCTATTCAGGTCTTCTGTTCATTTTTTAAATTGGGTTGTTTTCTTTCTTTTCTTGATATTCAGTTTGTGAGCTGTTTATATATTTTGGATATTATTTTTGCTTTTATTTCTTTGCCTTAGGAGACAGATCCAAAAAAATATTTCTATGATTTATGTAAAATTGTGTAAAATCAAAAAGAATAAAATACCTAGAAAATAAACTTAACCAAAGAGGTGAAAACTATAAAACACTGATGAAGAAATTTGAAAATGATACAAAGAAATGGAAAGATATAATGTGTTCTTGGATTAGAGGACTTAATATTGTTAAAATGACCATATTACCCAAAGCAATCTGCAGATTTAATGGAATGCCTATCAAAATGCCCATGACATTTTTCACAGAAGTAGAGCAAATACTTCTAAAATTTATATGAAACCACAAAAGACCCTGAACTACCAAAGCAGTTCAAAGTTCAGCAATGCAATCTTGAGAAAGAAGAGAGCTGGAGGAATCACCCTCAGACTTCAAACTATACTACAAAGCTACAGTAATCAAAACAGTATGGTACTGACTGAAGAAAAGACACACAGATCAATGGAACAGAATAGAAAGCCCAGGAATAAACTCACACACCTACTGTCAATTAATCTATGACAAAGGAGGCAAGAATGTACAATAGAGAAAAGACAGTCTCTTCAATAAGTGGTGCTGGGAAAACTGGACAGCTACATGTAAAAGAATGGAATTAGAACATTTCCTCACACCATATACAAAAATAAACTCAAAGTGGATTAAATACCTAAATGTAAGACCTGAAACCATAAAACTCCTAGAAAATAACATAGGCAGAGGATGTAGTATTAAGATTACCATTATAAGGATGAAGACGTTGAGGCCCAGAAAGGTTAGGTTATTTGGCAAAGATTATACAGCAAGTAAATCACAGAAGCAAGATTCAAAGCCAGGTAGTTTGGTACTAGTCCTAGCTCTACACCATCTCTAAGGCACATCCTAATAAATGATTGTCAGATTAATAAATGAGGGAATTCTACC